TTCCTATGAGGATTAGTGTGAATTGGACAACACGAGATGAACAGTGGAAATTGGGAGACACTCTTTTATAGGAAGTAGGATATATATATACGCAAGTAGAGGTGGCAGAAAGTAGTAGCAAAAGTGCAGACTTTGATTGCTATATATATATACACGTGAATTGGAGAAACCAGATGAGGTAATTTTACTAGAAATTTCACGTTTCGTCGATTTTTGGTGATTTCTTTCCACTTTCTCATGTTTAAATTTAACATTATAAGTGACTAAATATTTTTATGTTAGGATTGATGATGGAACTTAGATTTTTATTATATGTTTAATTTCAAGATTTTCATACCTTTTTAATACTTGTCAATTAATTATTGTGTGTTTAATACTTTAATTGTCTAATCAATAATTAATTGATATAAGGAATAATATTGAAATTGAGAGGTGAAATATAATTCTAGCTCGTATAATAATTAACATAGACATTAGAGAGATAATTATAATCTATGCGGCGATCTTTGTTGAATTTCTATGGATTAACGCGTTCATATGTGTGTGGATTTACATAGAGATATAGTAAGTTCGGGCATATGAATAGAACTAGTGTTGCTTGAGAGAGATCATTAAACACAATAGGTTAATTCGATCGTTGGCACGTATGAAAAATGACTGAATAAATTAGATTTAAATGTATAATAAATAACCTAAGTGAAATCGAAAATCCTAACTATCTAATCAATTAATCTTTTCTCCAGATTTAATTGAGTTCGTTATTTTATTAATAGTTCGTTACTTTCTTTATTAGAATTCCGTTTAGAAAATAAAATTTGATTTGATTATTAGTTATCATTTTAATTTAAATTGAAGCTAGATTAATTTAAAACTTTATAGCAGATAATAGTCTCTGTGGGATGATATTCGGACTTTAAAAAATCCACTTTATTACTTGTCACGATCCGTACACTTGCGAAATTTTCACGAACAATGTATAAGGACCAGTATAGTGTGATGGGAGTATAATATTTCCACTTGGATGGAATGCATTTTATAGGCTGTGACTGTAGATGCTATTTAGCAAGCACCCTCAAATTAGATTTATATCTAGAACTTCCATATTCTCTTATATAATTCACCGTATTTTTTTATACCTCATTTATATCTAGTCATCTATAACGACGAGATTTATTTAAATCTATTTGTTAATTTCATCTTAATTTGTTGAATAGTATTCCTTGTTATTTCTCCACTCATCTCCACATACATTTGCACACACAAAAGCATGTATGTTCATGATGCCCATTAAACTAAAGGATTTTTTCACGATATTAATATGGATCCCAATAACTCACAACAACTAGTTATTCTTTGCATTTTAATTTTTATTTTGCAAGATGGGGTGGGCCAGGTGGATATGTTTATCAAAAGGCCTACTTGGAGTTCTTTTCCACAGAAGTTGAATGCACTGGTTGAGAAATGCAAATTGTTCCCATTCTTTACCTCCATGGCTGTCAGTCAATAAAGACGGGACCTGGTTTTCCAATGTCAACCAAACTGATGTGAATGCAGTGACATGGGAAGTCTTTCCTGCAAAGGAGGTTATACAACCAACTATCGTGGATGCTGCCAGCTTCTTGGTATGGAAAGTTGAAGCATTTGAAACATGGTCAAGAGGATGGCGGAAGCTCTATCCAGAAGGTGATCCATCCACAAAATTACTTGAAGAGGTCAGAGTTTACATATTAGCTTATAATTTTATCATATTTGTTATTCTCTGGACTTCTTTTATTCATTAATATTTTTTTTTACATATTCCTGTGTTTGGTGGTCTTGTAGGTGCAAAGAAATTATTTCTTGGTCAGCTTGGTTGATAACGATTACATCAATGGTGATATGTTCGTCGTGTTTAAAGATATCAGAAATGATTGAAGAATTTGTCCTCTCTTGAAAGTTCTACTTTATCTATCAATATATGCTCTACTTTTAAGTTTAATTTACTTAAAAAGAGTAATTGGTTGGTGTTCCTTGTGTCAAACTATGATTTTATTAGTGTAATGACATAATCTATTGGATTTTGTAATCTCCAACTTAGGATGTGGAAGTATACAAATTTGAAGTTGATTTTAATCTAAACTTGGGAGTCACTACTGTTGATTTGGATCATATTATCCACTGTACGAGTAGCAATTGGTTTTTAAATAACACTATAAACGCAAATGCTCATTCTGTTTTGGGGAATACATTTGCATATACTAAAAAGCTAAGCATAAAGAGGTGGATGTTATTATGGCTTTGCTTAAAAACAATTTCTTGACAATTCACTTGTTCGTTACAGTTGAAGCAAGAAATTGTTTAATTATACTGAAGCATGTTAATCCCTATAAGTCGATTCAAAGCTGAGTTGTATCAGTTAATAAGATGCTAGCCAGGACTATTCAAATGAATTATGAAGCGTTTTTGTGCAAAAGGATCTATCCTCAGTGTTTTTGCTCTTTTTCTTAACTCGCCTCTTTATACAAGGAAATAAACTCTGAATTATTCTTCAAAATTAAAGTTTATGGAGGCCCACATAATAAACTTGATGCTTAGTGTTTGAGAAGTCATGATTATGTTAATTATATATCCACCTGATGATACCAAAAATCGGACCTGCTGATTTCTCGAGTTTGACGACTGAGAACGAGCACGAACAAGCTCTTCCGGTACCTGAAACAAAAGCGTCGAGGTGTGGCCTCGTCGTTCCTCCGATGATTAAGTCAGAAAGAGTGTTTGAGAGAAAATATATGGTGAGAATATATGTAAAAATGTACCTGAATAATGATCAAATGCCCCATATTTATAGAGCTAGGTAGTAGTGGACTTTTAGAAGGACTCGTCACCTTATTTTTAGGAATGACTTATGGTAGGAGTTAGTGTTGGATTAAAACTAGAAGTCTCACCTTATCTTGCCTATAGTATGTTTCAAGATAGAATACTTGTAGACCTAGAATTCTTAATTTATGGTAATTGGACAAGGCTAGAGTCCTTACGGGATGAGGATTATTTATGCTCGATCACTGATTGCCTTTGGGAAGTTGGCCAAGGCAAATGCTCGACCACACAGCCCGATGACGACCAACGTAATTTGACAGGTATACCTCGAGGTATCCCGAGAACTATTAAGTCTCGAGGACTCCGGTCCTAAAGTTGAACGATGAGAGAAATGCCAAAGCTCGAGCTCGAGATGTTCCATAATGACCACATCACTGGCCCCCTTGCATCCACTCCTAAAGCTCGAGAATTAGGTGTGGGTGCATATGAGCTCTATTCTTGGTAAAGTCTTGAGCTCGAGGATAGAATAAGCTTTGTAATGAGCTTGCCGATAGCATAATGAACTTTGTCGGCCATTTGCTCGATGACTAGACCAGTAATCTCAACGATCAGATAATGGATTATCTTCTAGATAAAGCTTCGAGCTTGAGGATAGGTTCAATGTCTAAACCTTGTAGTGAGCTCGACGAAAGCTTAATGAGTTGAAGTGTTGAGCTCAACGATTAGCTCGAACTAGATGGGAACTTTAAGAAGTCGAGGATTGTAAAAACTTTAAAAACTCGAGCTATTAATTAGCCTTGTTGCCTTAGGGGGTATGCTCGAGGACTTATTCAAGTAATTGGCTCGTTGACGAAGTCTTAAGCTCGACGATAGCTCATTCAATTATCTTGAGACCCGAGCTTAATGACGGCCCAGTTTGTTATCAAGTTATGAGCTAGACGAAAGCTTATTTAATCAACTTCATCCTAGGCTCGAGGAGAGCCTAGTTCATAATTAAGTCATGAGCTCAACGATAGCTCATTTAATTAATTTAATCCTGAGCTCGAGGAGAGCCCAATTCATAATTAAGCCATGAGCTCGACAATAGCTCATTTAGTCAATTTAATCTTGAGCTCGAGGAGAGCCCAAATCATAATTATTTTTGATCTCTAAGTGTTGAGCCCGACGACCATAAGAGTTTTGTGGCCCAATTTGATCCTGACGACACCGCTACCTATGACGTAGTCTCGAGCTCGAAGACCATTCGATGAAATTTTGTCTAAGATTTATTTTGGACTGGTCGAGCTCAAGATAGGTTTTTAAGGTATTCGTTCATGTACGTTTTGAGGTGCCTGTGCATGACAGGACTTTGATGTGATCATACCCGTAGCATGTCTAGGAGGTGCCTGTGCGTGACAGGACTTTAACTAGATCTTACACGTAGCATGTCCCGGTGGTTCCTGCGCGTGACAAGACTTTGGTGAGATCATGCTCGTAGCATATCTCGGAGGTGCTTGTGCGTGACAGAGCTTTTTTTTGAGTTCATGCCCGTAGCATGCTCGGAGGTGCCCGTTTGTAATGGGTCTTTGGTCTGGCATGCCTTGAGGTTCCACTCATGACAGGTCTTTTTTTAAGTTCATTCTTGTAGCATGTCTCGGAGGTGCCCGCTCGTGACAGGTCTTTTTTGAGCTTATGCCCATAGCATATCTCGAAGGTGCCTGCTTGTGACAGGTGTTCGGGAGAAACACTTAAAAAATTTCTGTTGGGTCTTTCCCAACGACTACTTCATATAAACTTTGCTATGTTCTGAAACAAGTATGGGCTCGCAGGCCTTTATGAATGAACTACCGAAAGTAAAATGTGTAGAGCGTGCAAGCCCAATGAAAAATTGAACTAACAGTAAACAAAAGAAAATACATAGGGCGCAAGCCCAAAATAAAAGTAAACTAATGCTTGTAATTAAATAGACAAGGTCATGACTTTTACTTATAATAAACTTTGAGGTTGTCGAAATTCCAAGGCCTTGGCAATGATCTTTCCGACATATTTCTCAAGCTATGATATTGATTATACCAATCGTGGGTTTGTTACCTCCACCTAAACCTAAGGTATGCCATTTGTCATGATCATTCCTTGGACACTTATCATGCCCAACATACGTCTTCAAGAATCCTCTTCTAATCGGGGCCTCAATCTCCCACTGCAATGTTATACACTCCTCGGTTGTATGCCCATGATCCCTGTGTAAGTCACAGTATTTGCTCTTATCTTTGGTCTCCGGGGGAGATCGCAACCTAGGAGGCCATTTAAGCTCATTCATATCCCGGATCTCCATCAGTATGTTGGACTTAGAGGTATTCAAATAAGTGAATGGCCTAAGTGGTCCTTCCTGCTTGCCTCGAGCCTGATCTTGTCGCAAGTTCGACTCGTGCGGTCTCTTAAGTTAGGGCTTCTCCAAGCTCGGACTAGCCTTCATTGCCTTCTCTATATTGATGTATTTTTCTCCTCGGGTAAGAAGCTCAGTCACTGACTTCGGGGGCATCTTGGATAAAGACATCGTGAAGGCTTCACACCTCACATCATAAGTTAGAGCCGAAATAGCCGCTATAATGTGAAGGTTGGGTATATGTAGCCTTTCTTTATTGAATCTCTTCATGAAGTTACGTAAGGTCTCATTTGGGCCCTAGCGGAGCTACATGAGGGTGGCTGTCATCTTCATGATGCGCTTACTACCTGCAAAGAAGGTTGAGAACTTATTCGCAAGGTCAGAGAATGACCATATAGAGTTAGGTTCCAATGTGTTGAACCAATCTTGACAACGTTGGTCAATGTTTGAAGAAAGGCCTTGCACATTACTTGGTCGGGCGCAACTCGTAGGTTCATGACGGTTGTGTAAACATTAAGATGGTTGATGGGGTCGGTGGTCCCATCATACTCCTTCATGCGGGGGAACTTGAACCTGTCCGAGAGGGGATATGAAAGAACTTATGGTGTAAACGGAGTGTTAAGGGTGAACCCCGTCACTCCTTTGGTATTCTGTTGTAGTTCTGCTGCGATCCTATCTTGTATGATCCGAGGGAGTTCTCCTGAGTCCATAGTTACCAATCTCGAGGTTGAGGCTAGTGGGGATATGCCTAAGGCGCTAGATCCACCATTGTCATGGGCATCACGGGCGTCCCGAGCTCGAGCATCAGCAATGACATCTCCTTCTGACGTCGATTTATGTGCATGTGCTGGTGCTGGAGCTTGGGGAATGTTTCCTCGTCTGAGTAGCTGAGTCAGGGTCGCAACTTGTTGACAAAGATCTTCGAATGTTCCTGCGGTTACCTCTGCTAGTGGAGGATCCGACATTCCTGGTGACTCTTCTTGATGAATTGGAGGCTTCGAAGCGGGGGGCTGGTTTGGAGCGGATGAGCTTGCTGGAAGATGACATGAACGTGTATTCGTCATGAATTTTGGTTGCGCTTCCCACAGACGGTGTCAATAATGCCACCGAAAATTGCACCTGTCGATTTCCCGAGCTTGACGACCGATAATAAGCACAAACGAGATCTTTCGGTACCTGAAACAAAAGCTTCGAGGTGTGGCCTCGTCGCCCCTCCAATGCTTAAGTAGGGATGACAAAAAAGCTCGGCGGCTCACTCGGCTCAGGCTCGGTTCCACCGAGCCAAGGCTCGGGCCGAGCCTCATTTTG